ATACATACATACATACATACATACATACATACATACATACATACATACATACATACATACATACATACATACATACATACATACATACATACATACATACATACATACATACATACATAAATTACATACATACATACATACATACATACATACATACATTACATTACATTACATTACATTACATTACATTACATTACATTACATTACATTACATTACATTACATTACATTACATTACATTACATTACATTACATTACATTACATTACATTACATTACATTACATTACATACATACATTACATTACATTACATTACATTACATTACATTACATTACATTACATTACATTACATTACATTACATTACATTACATTACATTACATTACATACATACACACATAATACATTACATACATTACATGGCATTACATACGTTACATACATTCCATACATAACATACATTGCATACATTACATACATTACAACATACCTTACATTACATACATTACATACATTACATACATTACATACATTACATGCATTGCATGCATTACATATATTACATACATTTACATACATTACATACACTACATACAGTACATACATTACATACAGTACATACAGTACATCAACATACATACGTACATACATGAATTCATACAATACATTATATGTGCTACATTCATGACATTGCATTACAACTACATAACATTACAAGACATTGCATTATATCACACCACACTACATTACATTGCAATACACTCCACTACACTACTATACATTACTTAAATACATGCATACATACATGAACCATATACATTGCACATCCACATGTGTACATATACCTCTGCACATGTGCATGGGCATATGCATACTCATATATGTACACATATATGTACACATATATGTATATATATATGTATATGAATATATATATATATATATGTGTGTGTGTGCGCGCATACAGGGGTTCCAAACAGGAGCAAACTTTCCTGCTTGGCGACCAAGAACCTGCTTGCACTCCTTCGAACCTGGGCCTCAGCGCCAGTTGCCGGAAGAGAAGATACCAAAACCTCAACGCGCTGACAGAAGCGCGCAGTCTGGCGTCCTCAACTCAAGCATGGGTGTCCTAAGGGGAAATAGATGGGGTTCCCTGGTAGATGATTAAGCCACGAGGTAAACCAGGGCCAACGATTTTTCTAGCAAAACAACCAAAAAGGAGACCTATGAAGGCAAGTTGCACACGTCAGGTCTGAGCGCGAACTCCAAAGCAGCCTCTGCATCAATTCGACATCTCCAGCGGCTCCCTTTTCACAATAGGGCATGAAAACCGTTACGCGCTGCGTTGTACAAACATGGTTCAATGAAAGGCCTTCCATCCCCGTGGTCACAGGCCTACTCACCTTAGAAAAGGGAGTACTGAAAAAAATGGTCCCCAAAGGTCGGCGGAGCGATAAAAAGAAACGGATCAGTAGTCTGTGGAGCCCTCCGCTCCCTTTCCCGCGAAATCCGTGAGAGAGCAAGGATAAATCGGTCGAGATGATGTTCCAAGAATGCAAGGATACGCAAGAGCGCGCCCCTGGATGTTGACGTGGGGATACAGCAATATCTCGCCAGTGCTGGTGCCCCTCCCCGTAATTACGCCCGGCAAGTTGACAGCCTCAAAATGAATTAGCCTCTGAAATGGCGGTTGCTAAGCGCAACCACCCCCACAACCAATTTGGCGAAGCCCTCAACATGTTCACTGCACAGAGCCCACCTTGACAAGACGAGGCCCCGGCGTGCCGCACGTCACACGCCGACACGGCACATTACATAAAACCTCAGGCTGGCAGATCTGGGCTTTGAATCTCTTCTGGGACTGTCAAAACCCTTTGCTGATGCATTCATATATGTATATACATAAGTTCACATGTACATGCATGCATCATATACATATATATATATAAATATCTCTCTCGCTCTCTGCCGTTGCGTCCATTGGGTCCAGAGGACTCAGCAAGGCAACGAAAAAGGGTAGGCCCACCGATGTTCAAAAACACCGACAACGCGAAGCCTGGCCACAGCAAAAGAGCTTAATTCTGATATGTTTAAAAAAAAAAAAAAGCTGGCTGTTCTTCCCTTATGAAACGCACACAGCTTCGCAGCTTCCTTTTTGCCCGCTGCCATTTCTCCCTTTCCCCCCTTTCCATTTCTCTCGCTGCCTGTGCCGCCCCGCCAAGGGGCACTGCCTCACTGGCTGCTCGGGGCGCGGCGCCTGAAGCACAGAGTCGAGCGCGCAAGGATGGCTCCTCCTTTGGCTCACATGTCTGTTGAGGGAATTTTGAGGGGGTTTGAGGGGGTTTGAGGGGGTTTGAGGAGGTTTGAGGAGGTTTGAGGAGGTTTGAGGGGAAAAGCCACTCAGAAAAGTTCTTGGAAAAGTGACTCCAAGGCTGTGGGCACACATGGGCCATCCAGTTGGAGCCCATGCCACATCTTTTGCCTTGAGCGCCTGCCTTGCCGCAGTGGCGCACTGGGTGATACCTGACGACGGTGAGGGGGCAATCCGCATCATCCCCTTGACCGAGGAAAAGGTCTTCTTCCAAACCCGGCGCCTTTGTGGGATCCCAGTTGAGCAGAAAAGAGAAGTCCACTCCACCCCACCCCGCAAGCCAAAAGCCAAGGGCCAGCCCATTGGCTTCCAGCGATTTGAGCCGCGGGGCTGCAGGCCGTCACCGGTGTTCACCACGGAGAGGGTGAAATCCTCATCCGTGAGGTGCCGGACCTGAGGTTGTGTCACGCTGGCTCACAAAAACGAAAACGGGCTGAGGAACTCGCGGAAGTCGCCAGCTTGTTTTGTTTCCTTTTCCCAGTGCTCTCAAACTTGAGAGGCTCGATCTGGCTTTTTTTGAGGGGGGTTCTTTCAATTCGAACCACAGTCCGGAAAGACTGAAACCACATCAGGCACACCCCTGGCCTTTTGGCCCACGGATCTCCCAGCCGACTCACGAGGCGCCGGCCAGCACGATCAGCAGGAAATGGCCTCCGTCCTCGCCTTCCGCCTGCACAGGGTTTTTGTTCACAGGCGTCCGGCAACACAGCCTCCCACCTGCTACAAATCAAACATGCACCTGGGGGCTTCGCACCACATCCGCCACTCACAGCCATTCACCTCTGGGCCATATGGCACCAGAAGCGCGGCCATGCCGGCCTTGTCCTGCCAGAAGCGCTTCAGCCAGCCGACAGGCCTCAAGACAGCCAGGTGCAACAAAACGACTTTTCCAGTCGTGCTTCACTCCGTGTGTTGGGTCCCCCCCCATGAGACCATCAGTCATGGACTTCCGGCATGGACAAGCAAGATGAAGCAAGCACAACGTCCAAATGGGCAAATCTTTCTTCACGCTCCCAAAGCATGGGGCCTCAAATCCAATCTTCGACACCTTCTCATCCCTCCCGTCCAAGCGGCACCCAGGCAATGCCGCCAGGAGGGAGTGCCTGGCCAAAACTGCCGGCACCGGGTTAGATTAGGTTTACTCGGGGGCTGGTGACAAGCTTTACAAGGCCCCACACAGGAACCGGCATCATCAAAGAACCCACGCAATCTCGGCTTCGAGAAGAGCTGGAGCCCTGCACTCCCTCAATCCCTCTGAGCCAAAAGTTGCTTCAGGCGCTCCCTTGCGACCGCTTCAACTCGTTGAGCTGGGACATCGCTATGATCTGAGCCCATTTGGGTGTGGCTCAAAATTAAACAGGTTGGGTTACGCAGGTTTTGGTCTTACCAGGGTTCCATTCTGGGTGCCGGTTTTTTGAGCCGCAGCCATTTCCAGCCTTCGAATGAATCACCAGCGTGCGGAGGAGGGGCAGCAGCCTGGGCGCAGCCAAAGGAGGTGCCTTTGGCCTGCGGCTTTTCGGAATTTGTACACTTTTCACAAGGAACCGAACAGGGACCAGTTACTAAAGTTGCCCGGTCCCTTTCAAAGGAAAATTTGGTCCAAACCAGGACCCCCGCGAACCTCAGGTTCCAGGATTCAAACTATAAACCAGTCCACTGGATTGCGCTTGCGCAATCATTGAAAAATTAACAAACTCCTTTGAGCTTTTTTTCCCCTCCGAGGAGATGGAATCCCCAATGTGTTCTCCACATGGCTTCACGCCTACAGGTTCCTGTACGCGTTCGCCCTTTGAAGACGCGTGAAACCCCTCAATGAAGAAGCCCGACATTGCTTTGGGATGGTAAAGGGAACCCCTGATTCGTCAACTCCTGGATGATTGTTAGGGGGGTCCCGTTTAATGGGACGGGTTTATTCATCTGAGGTCAACAAGAACTCAACACTAATCATGTAATCCTCCCGCAGGACAACTGCCACTTTCCCCGCTGTACAAACAAACGGGTAGCACGTGTCGCCATCTCCCTCCTGGAAGGCTTTGATTCTGCAAAAACTAGCAGCCCTCTTTGAACACATGAGGAGAGTGCGATGCATTCCCCGAGGGCCCCGGCTTCTCTTTGAGATTCTGGGCGTCCTGCATAGTGGCTGCCGTGTATGCTTCACGGCAAGGACTCGCAAACGCCCTCAGGTATAACTGCAATAGTCGGAGCAAAATATGATCAGAAAAAAAAAAGAAAAAAAAAAAAAGATGTTGCATTCACCGGGGACAATCTTATTCAACCTTCAATTTATTCTGTTCCCTGTCCCAACGCAGCGTGTGGCTCACGCATCCCGAATCCGCCGGGCGGATGCCATTTTTGACCCGACGCCTAGCAGCCTAGCACTAGCCTCAGGTCCGCCCGTCAGGATCTCTTCTTCACCTCTGTCTCCTTCACCTTCGCCTGCCGTTCGATGAATCCAGCCCAACTTTGGAGGGTGGAGGCATCCCCGAGGGGTGGTAACCCTGTTCTTTTCCCCGGTACTCTTGGGGCATTGGATCAATGAAGCCGCGATTTTGCAGCAGCAAAATTCTCCCCCGGTGCCCTATGCTTGTGCTCCGGTGCTTTTTTGAGGTCATGTTCACTTCACATTCTTGCCCCAGAATTTGACGACCGCTTCCTCCGGGGCCTTAGGTTCTTTGGGTTCACGCCAATTCTGGCCGGGAAGCACCAGGCACCAGGCCCTCGCCCAAGCCCATGTTTCCGGCTAAAGTGAATTCGAAAAGAACGAATTCGCAAGGAAGGGGAGGCTCGGAGGGGCGTTTTCTTGCTTGGCATCACCAGTTGCCTCATAATGATTGCTTGGCCAAAATCCGCGAATTGAGAAAAGCGGCTAATGTGGTTCTATGTATATGTGTATTGTTAACCCCCCCCCCCCCCAACAACAAAACAAACACGTGCGAACCGAGCAGCCTGGGTGCGGCAACATCGGCGCCGGCAAAGAAGGATCAGACACCTCGGATTTCTAAGGGACGAGCAGGAACAGGCCTTGATGCACAACTGCGTCTTGCAACACACATGCAAAAAGCGTTGCTGGCAGTCAGTCAGTCAGTCAGTCAGTCAGTCAGTCAGTCAGTCAGTCAGTCAGGCAGGCAGTCAGTCAGTCAGTCCGTCCGTCCATCCATCCGCCAGTCAGTCAGTCAGTCAGTCAGTCAGTCAGTCAGTCAGTCAGTCAGTCCGTCCATCCATCCGCCAGTCAGTCAGTCGTCAGTCAGTCAGTCAGTCAGTCAGGCAGTCAGTCAGTCAGTCCGTCCATCCATCCGCCAGTCAGTCAGTCAGTCAGTCCGTCCATCCATCCGCCAGTCAGTCAGTCAGTCAGTCAGTCAGTCAGTCAGTCCGTCCATCCATCCGCCAGTCAGTCAGTCAGTCAGTCAGTCAGTCAGACAGTCAGGCAGTGAGTCAGTCCGTCCATCCATCCGCCAGTCAGTCAGTCCGTCCATCCATCCGCCAGTCAGTCAGTCAGTCAGTCCGTCCATCCATCCGCCAGTCAGTCAGTCAGTCAGTCAGTCAGGCAGGCAGGCAGGCAGGCAGTCAGTCCGTCCATCCATCCGCCAGTCAGTCAGTCAGTCAGTCAGTCCGGTCAGTCAGTCAGTCAGCCAGTCCGTCCGTCCATCCATCCGTCAGTCAGTCAGTCAGTCAGTCCATCCATCCGTCAGTCAGTCAGTCAGTCAGTCAGTCAGTCCATCCATCCGTCAGTCAGTCAGTCAGTCAGTCCGTCCATCCATCCGTCAGTCAGTCAGTCCGTCCATCCATCCGCCAGTTAGTCAGTCAGTCCATCCATCCGTCAGTCAGTCAGTCAGTCAGTCAGTCAGTCCGTCCATCCATCCGCCAGTCAGTCAGTCAGTCCATCCATCCGTCAGTCAGTCAGTCAGTCAGGCAGTCCATCCATCCGTCAGTCAGTCAGGTCAGTCGTCAGTCCCATCCGTCAGTCAGTCAGTCAGTCAGTCCGTCCATCCATCCGCCAGTCAGTCAGTCAGTCCATCCATCCGTCAGTCAGTCAGTCAGTCAGTCCGTCCATCCATCCGTCAGTCAGTCAGTCCATCCATCCATCCGTCAGTCAGTCAGTCCGTCCATCCATCCGCCAGTCAGTCAGTCAGTCAGTCAGTCAGGCAGGCAGGCAGGCAGGCAGTCAGTCCGTCCATCCATCCGCCAGTCAGTCAGTCAGTCAGTCAGTCCGGTCAGTCAGTCAGTCAGCCAGTCCGTCCGTCCATCCATCCGTCAGTCAGTCAGTCAGTCAGTCCATCCATCCGTCAGTCAGTCAGTCAGTCAGTCAGTCAGTCCATCCATCCGTCAGTCAGTCAGTCAGTCAGTCCGTCCATCCATCCGTCAGTCAGTCAGTCCGTCCATCCATCCGCCAGTCAGTCAGTCAGTCAGTCCATCCATCCGTCAGTCAGTCAGTCAGCCAGTCAGTCAGTCCATCCATCCGTCCAGTCCAGTCAGTCAGTCAGTCCGTCCAGTCAGTCAGTCAGTCCATCCATCCGTCAGTCAGTCAGTCAGTCAGGCAGTCCATCCATCCGTCAGTCAGTCAGTCAGTCAGTCCGTCCATCCATCCGTCAGTCAGTCAGTCAGTCCGTCCATCCATCCGCCAGTCAGTCAGTCAGTCCATCCATCCGTCAGTCAGTCAGTCAGTCAGTCCGTCCATCCATCCGCCAGTCAGTCAGTCAGTCCATCCATCCGTCAGTCAGTCAGTCAGTCAGTCCGTCCATCCATCCGTCAGTCAGTCAGTCCATCCATCCATCCGTCAGTCAGTCAGTCCGTCCATCCATCCGTCAGTCAGTCAGTCAGTCAGGCATGCAGTCAGCCGGTCAGAGCCAGTCGCCAGGTTGGTCGCTCGCTCGGTCGTTCCGTCAGGCATTCAGTGAACCAGCCAGCCAGCGAGTGGACGAGTGGGCGGGTAGTCTGGTGCTCGCTTTCTGTGGGCCAAATTGCGGATTTGCGGATGCCGTCTCAAGCAGCCTCACCAATTGGCAGGTCTCATTCGAACCAAGCACGTCTCAGTGGCACGTGCATCGGAACAAGGTGCTGTATCGGCTGCTCTGTGCAGCCGATAAAGCCTTTCATTGCACCAATACTGTGATAAATGCCGTGAGTGGGCGCTGCTGCCCCGACAGCTTCTTGCAAGCACCTGATCTGCCTTCCCAAATGGCAATCCCGCCAATAACCCAGAATGTCAGGACAAGTGTGCCATAAGCGGAATCTTGGTGCTCTAGTCTACTGCAGGGCTTGCCACTTGCAAAGAACTTCTTGAAAATGCTGAATTGTAGCAACTGAAAACGCTGCTCAGCTGCGAGAGGAATGCTGCCAAGAGGCACGATACATCCGAGCAGGAGCGCGATGACCAACAACAAGAGCCACCTTGCAGATCCGGGTCTTGGATAGATCCCCGCCAAGACCGAATATACCCCAGCAAAACACAAGAAAAAAACAGAAGTCAAGCAAGCCATGCTTGGGCGCAGCTTAAGTTCCCTGCGCATTCCAAGGGTTTTCGGGACCCCCCACAAATGTCCCGACCGAAGCTTGCGGCGCTCTCCCGAGCGAAAGGTCAGTCCCCTCGTCGCTCGCCAAGGCGCCCCAGGATCTTGGGCATCCACAGCTGCAGCGGGTGGTCTGGGCTGAGCCGCAGCGTCTTCAGCAGCGCCTTCACGCCTGCGTGAGCCAAACCAGAAAGATGTGAGGGGCACACCAACAGCTTGGGGCACCCGTGAGAGAGGTTTGGGGTGGACGAGGTGCCGAAGTGTGCCGCAAAAACGTGGCAAGCCAAGTGATCAACGGATTGGGATGAGAACTCTCCCTCCATGTCCTATGCTCCCGGATATGGCACGAGGCCCAGCAGCCGCACACTGCTGCCAAGGGGCCAAATTTCACCAGGCCTCGGATTCAAAAGCTGCACCTTGCAGAGAGCTGACATCAAGACCCTGTAATCAACCGGAAAAAAAAGTGCACTTGGGAGGCACAACTCGAAACTTCTCCAGAGGATCTCCCACTTCTTGACGCCCCAACACTACCCCACAAATCTCCGCGAGACGCCCACCCCCCGAATCAGCCATCAGCCATCATGACCTCCGAACTCCGAGGCCCGGGCTTCGCAGCCAGTAGTGACTCCGCACCACAGACCCCACCTAGAACGGCCCAGCACAAAGGTCCGGACATGCCATGGGTCACAGTGCGATCCTGTTTCACTCACAGGCACTCCCACCCACGAGTGCCTGGAAGATCCAAACATTTCCTCAAGCGACCCTTCTTGGTGCCCATGGCAACGTGACAGTTTCGAGACCAAACTTTGGAGGGCACCGGCCCAAGCGGGAAGTCGAAGGTCCGGGCAAAGTCGAAGATGTCCTTGGCTGGTTCTTTGTGATATGCGTACACCTGGGCATGTCTGTTTGAGGGTACCTCCTTCTTTGGTGGATTTAAAAAGCAAACCCAGACGCTCCAACCTGAAAACGAGTCACCCACCTGAATCATTTACGGCTCATTCGGTCATGCGCATCAAACCTTGGGTACCTAATGAAACCTGGGGGCCAATCATTGGCTTCGGGTCAGGTCCATTTCGCCGAGCCACATCCCTGTCGAAGGCCCAATGTTGATACTGCAGCTGGCCTTTCCTGAAGAGCAGAACCGCGGGAATCCGCTGGACCCCGAACTCCTTCTGCAGCTCCAGGTCCCTCAGCATGAATCCCATGGTCTCCGTTGGTGTGCAAGATTCCAACCGAAGCTGCTAGCCGCCCCACCCCAAATCACCCACCAATCCAACGCCTCCAAAGTCAAACTTCGAACAAGCCAGGTGTGTTAAGACTGAAATTTCGCCGCCTCCAGAATACTCCAGAAACTGGCTGGCTGGATTGCTGTGAGTCTGCATGTATGTACACCCATGTACATGGCTGTGGCGCCAAAAAAAACACGGAATCCCGAAATGGCTTGCCCTGGCAACTGGAAACATGGGAACCAAAACCTGCGGTTTGCCCCTCCGATCGTTTCATTTTGAGAACCACACCCACACGGCGCTCGCTCGAGCGCTCGCTCGGCGCTCGCTCGAGCGCTCGCTTGGCGCTCGCGAAACGCGGCCCGAGGCGCCGGGTCTGCGCCAGGACCACCCGCGAGTTTGCGAGCCGCAGATCCTGGGCCGCCGCCAGGTACCCAGGGCCCAAGTCCCGGCCTCGCGAGTCACGCGCCCACCCAACGGGACAACGGGAGTCGGCTTTGTGTCATGCAAAGCGCCACAAAAGCCATAAAAAGACTATGGGAAATATGTGGCCAAATCTGAAACGTATGGTTTTAAGACTTTCCTGCTGGTTGTCTGGAATTCAGAGTGTCCAGGTCAGATAATGTGGGGCCTTTCCTTGGATCGTTACCTGACACAACCAATGTCAACCATTCGCATGGGATTCTTGCAGAGTGGGCGTTCACAGGGGGATGCGCACCAACCCAAGCGAAGGATAAAATCGCTGGTTGCACACAGCGAATCAGCGCATGATGAAAGCTCCCCAAATGGCTGGTTGTTGAGGGCGCCCTTGTTTGCCCATGGGATTGCCAAACCGACAAAATAATGTGTTTGGAAAGTGTCTGTGCGGGGTTTCAGCGGGCAGGGCAAGAGAGGCCAACAGCCCGCTGCTTTCTATGCGAGCCCAGCACAGTCCTGGGACAAGTCCGTCTGAACAGCTTGCCAAGTTGCACCTGCTGTCCTTGCTCTAGAAAGAAGTCGACTCTTCTGCGCAAGCTACGATAGTTAGCATTCATAGCATGGTCTACCCTGCAAACTGTCAATTTGTCTGCAATTCTTACTATAGTTCCAGAAGCTGAATTAAAGGATCCAGAGCTCGTTATACCCCCAGGTGAGCTCGCTACAAAATAGGCAGGTGTGTGCAGATCTTGCCGTTCCCCCCTGCAAAAACTGGCCAAAAGGCCCACGCCACGTCTTTGGCTTGGGAGAAGCTGCGCTGAGGTTTGGGCAAGCTGCAGTAGACGCACCAGTCCTGGTAGAACTTCACCAGCAAAACCTACGTGTCACTTGCTTGTTGCGAGAGATGCAGGGAATGAGACATGGAATGACCCCGATTTAAACCATCCATCCTATGGTATCCTTTATTCCGGAATCCTCAGGTTCATTCCCACATTCCCTACCGAGCAGCAGAAAGCTTGCCCTTTCTGGAAAAGCGGCCTCCATCCCCAGCGTTCGTATCGGGCTTGTTCAGATCGTCCCCGAACGGGGGCCGGATTCTTTCGAGCAACGGGTGAGTCCATTGGATTCGTGTTCACTACATATCGTTTCCTGAGAGCCATTGCTTTCCCCAGCAAAAGGCTTGACGAGTAGACAAATGGATTGCATGAGTCAAGGGCTAGGCTGCATTGGCGAGGGTAGGGAATGAAGACAGAAACGATCCCAAGACATGGTTCGATCCACTTGTCTTCATCGTTTCTGAGGCTCGTTTCTGACAGTGAGAGCCGGGAGGAAGGAAAGGCTCGTAGTTCCTAAGTTTGCGAGCCGTACAACGGAGAGTGTAAAGAGTCGGATAGACAAGAGATAGAATGGAGAGAGAAAGAGATGGGGGGCATCTCTCTCATTCAAATCGTTCATCCACGCTTCCATGAACTCGCTGGGAACGGCATCTCTTCATCCCATTCTGCGCTCTTCATCTCTCACATGACCCTTCCCTTCAAGCCCCTCCACACCCAAAAAAAGGCAAGGAAGGGACACCTTTCTGTCATAGCGGGAAAATGCTCGAAGGAACAGTTGGGCAACAGCCATGATGAACTGACCTACGAATCCAGTCTTTCCTCTTCCCTTGACTTCGTAGACATCCGCCTGCCCCCCCAGAAAGCTTGCTCATCCAATACACATGGAATGAATATTGGAATGATTTATATATATATATATGCACTAAAAAACAAAACTCCGGCTGGTGGTTTCCTTTATTCGGGAATCCCCAAGGTTCTTCCCACCTCCCCTCCAAAAGCGATCGGTTTCATGGGTGGCCACCCGTCAACTTGTGGGCACCCTACTCAGCACCAGCCGATTTTAATGGGTTTCCAAGTCAACTTGTGGGGAAAGCTTCAGCACGTCAAATCCCCGGGCCCCGGCCTCGTGTTTCTCCAGCGCCTCCGCCAGCGTCGGCGCCTCGGCTTTCGACAGCTCCGCCACCTCGCCCAACGCCTCGCGGAGCGAGGCGTTAGCAAGCGCTCCGCGGGACCTGTCCCGTCAGAAACAACTGACCCTGGCGGGGCTTGGCTTGGGATGGTTTGGATGTGGGAAGCATTTTTGTGGACTGGGGATTCTGAGAAAAATGGCTCCTTGGAATGGACCCTGGGCCACCTGACTTTGTGAAGGGACTTCGAATTGCAATGATCAGCTTCCGTGTACTTGATGGTTTGGATGGTGGTTTGGTGGTGGAGGGGGTTCCCATTCCCCCTCAACCACCAATCCAAACCAGCAATGAACCCCCAAGAGTGGTTTGGTGGTTAAGCTCCCCTCCGAAAGACCCAGCACCGGAACCAGAAAGCCACGCACGCCGCGAAAAAGGACCACCGCGCCTGGGCCAGGCCAGCCACCAGCCACACAAAGACCCGCGCGCCCATGGCTCAGCGTGGATTGCGGAGCTTCGGGCGCAAGCTGCAAGCCTGGGCGTATTGTGCACTGGGTGTGGATGTGGCGACCCGGCCGCGATCCTGATTTGAGAACGCGCTGAAGCGGCCGACATGCAGAATTTGCACTCCAGCACGACAGGGATCCTTAGATTATACACCTGAACATTGCCTTGTTTTCTAGTGGCTTCCTTTTACTTTGGTGGAAAAAGCCATGATTCAACTGGTTGCAAAATGTATCTTCAAGGAGCCCTGCACAAACTCGCAACAATACGGCCTCGTCAAGATCGCGGAAGGCTCTTGCGCCGCTTCCTCCCCTCGGCCCCCGTCCTCTGCGCAAACCTCCAGCAAGCACCGAGCAAAGGCATGGCCTCACCGAGCAAAGGCATGGCCCCCAAGCAGCATTGATGCTGTGCTTTCCGGCTTGCGGTGAACTTCAATGAATATTTAGGAGGCGTGTATTCTGCGGCGCTCTGAAGAGCAGGTTCTCTGAAGCAGGCGTGCCACACTCTATGTCTCTATCATGTGTGCCCATCCCTGGAAAGAAGAACGCAGATTCGTTAGGCCCTGGCAGTCCGCTGCAGCTTTCGCCACCTGCGGCACCTTGCCGTCCGGCTCCTGATCGCTATCGCTCACGTGGCACCATGCAAATGACCGGGGGCAAAGCTCGAACTCGGTCTCGTAAGAATTTATTGGCAGCCTGACTTCCCCGTTCTTGCCTTTCTTGAGGAGTCTCTATTCCTTGAGCAGTTTGCGTGGTTTGCTTGCCTCCACTGGCGTAACCACGCACCCTTGCCCCAGAGCCTCCCGGGCCCAGCGAGCCAGCAGAGTGCTAGCAATGGCGAGCGTCTCCTGGCACTTACATGATTGACCTGCCACCAGGAGAAAAACTCAATGCATGCCTTGGAAGGTTTACCGGTTCATTTGGCGGCATCAGGGCATCTTTAAGCCTCCAGCACCACCCCCCACGGCCAGGGTCAGAAGCCTCCAGGATCGCTAGGCTTGGACATCCTTGGCCACCCGAACCCACAGCAAGCATTAATTACACTCGTGTCCACTAACATGGAACCAGCGGCTCCTTTCCACGGAAAATAGTCTCCAAAATCCCTCAGTCAGGTTCCATGGCAACGTGGAAAAAAGGGTATTTTGTCATTGTCAACACGAACGTGCGAGACCACAAACCTGCCACCGCTTGCCCCGCACCACCAATCGCAGCGACTCAAGTCTTTCAGGCGCGGACTCTCTGCTGCCAGGGCGAGCTCCGGCCCTACCATCGGGCTCACTCGCTTCCCTAACCCCACGGAGAGCCATTGACGCGTGAGGGGCGGAGCTTGCAACCTGCTCCAGCCAATCATTCGGGCCCTACCCACCCGAATTGTTCAAACAGCCTTATGGCCTAGGTTCTACCAATCTTCCTGGGAGGGGGGGGAGGCTGGATTCTCCCAGGCCACCGCACGGCAGGCATAGCGCATGAAACACTCAGCGGTAGGCGACACGGGCGCGAGCGTGGCAAATCTGCAGGCTCCCCCTCTGGGCGAAGCACGTGCAGGCACTCTATCGATGGGCTCCACCTGGCATCCAGGAATTCGGTTCCACATGTCCGCGAAGTCAACCCTCAAACAGTTTCTGCAGGCAGCTCGAGTCCAGCCACGCCCATTTGAAACCAGAGGTGCCAGCACAGCGCGCCCAAGAATCCCAGACACCGCCATCCGGCACCTCCCCGCCTCACGCTTAGGGTCCAGCAGATCTAAGGCGGCATTCACCTCCGAGAGTGGTCATTACAAACACGTCTGCGCCAGATCATACGTGGAAGGAAGAAGTGAGAACAAAAGGCGCTTGGGGTGCATTTCAGGTCGCACTTCCCACGTCTACCCACCAGTCCGCCAGGCGCGCCTCCGCCGAGCGTCCTCCGAAGCGCGCCTGCCTCGGCGGGTTCAGAAGCTCCCCTCTGGGTGGCTAACATGTCCACAAGTCCACAAGAACAAGGGTTTCGAACCACCAATCCAAGCCACCCTTTTAAGGGAAAAATCCGAGGCTCGGAGTCTTGCCCCTAAAAAGAAGTCAAGCTTTCGTGGGTAAGCCGACGGACAATCTGCTCGCCTCTGCCAGGGGTCACTGGAGTAACATAAGTGTTTGCTGGCCAATACATGCTTTGATTTTGAGAGATCCCGTGTATAATTGTCAGGTTCCAAGCCTCACTCCTTCGAGGGACAGCTGCTTCTCAATTGCAAGCGCCAACATCCAAGCCGATTCGAACGTGACACTCGCGCGCAGGGAGCCCCTCTTCCCCCCCTCGGCTCTCCCTCTGCTTTTCCCGCGGCTCAAGCTGCATGTCGGCCCCGCCATTTTGACATGGCACAGCCGTCTTTCAAAGAACTCGGCCGTGAGCCGCCGGACCGGATGAGCTAAGGATCTCAAACGTCTCCACTCGCTTGGCCCAAATTTATGCGAACAATGAGAACTTCTTCTTCGTTTTATTATCATTATTATCCCTCTTCTTCTTCCTCTTCTTCCTCTTCTTCCTCTTCTTCTTCTTCTTCTTCCTCTTCTTCGTCCTCTTTTGATTCTTATTATTTATCCTATTTCTCTTCTTCTTCTTCTGGTTATTCTTCCTCTTCTTCTTCCTCTTCTTCCTCTTCTTCCTCTTCTTCCTCTTCTTCTTCTTCGTCTTCTTCTTCTTAATCTGATTCTTATTCTTTCTCTTCTTCTTATTGCTATTACTATTCTTATTATTTCGCTTCTTCTTATTTGTATTAGTATTCCTCTTCTTCCTCTTCTTCCTCTTCTTCTTGCTCTTATTCTTATTATTTATCTTCTTCTTCTTCTTCTTGCTCTTATTCTTATTATTTCTCTTCTTCTTCTTCTTCTTCTTCCTCTCCTTCTTCTTCCGAGTTGCCAGCCCCAAAAAAAAAACAAGGCTACCAGAATAAAGAAAGGGGCACTTCTAAGGAAAAGTCCCAGCGACCTTATGGGTGCCGTGTCCAAGGAACTGACCGCCAACTTGCCTTGTGCTTGCTCCGAGCCCAACTCAGCTGACCTGACTTGCAAAGCTAATTGCCATGGGTTCGCCCCTGCCCAACTACAAACTGAGAATGGATGATTTCGTCTCAAAAAATCGTTAGCCCAAAATTGTTAATTTTATGCTGGCCCCTTCTGAATTGACATACATCTTGTCGCCTGTCGCGTGTCCTTGCCTGCAAGGAACGGCCCCTGAGGAGGGTGAGACACCCACGCGGCTTGGCCGCACAGCGGATGCCTGGCGTCACGGTTTTGGGCCCACGCGGGACTTCCGCGGGACGTGTAGGACTTCCGCGGGACGTGTACCAATGGCGGGGTCAGACTCACAAGCAGTGCGCCGGACCAATCTGTTTACCATCCAAACGTGGAGATTGATTTATTTGTTTGTGCCCGCCTGTAGTTCTCAGATTTCAAGTTGCAGCATGGGTTCAAAGAATTGCCAAACCTTGCGGGGCTTCGGCTCACCACACGCCATGCTGCTTTGCTTCGGCTCCGCAACCCCATTCCGACAACCCCTGGCCCGATCGCATCGAGCACTCTGAAGGTCCTCTGGGCCCGAGCGGCTCGCAGACCGCGCCTCATCGCGTCTTCTCCGGCTGCGGTCTTCGCACCAGGTGGTAGGCGATAAAACGCCTCAAGCGCTTTTCGTGCTCCCAAAAATGTCGTGGGCTAGTGGCCGAGTAGAGGCTAGCCGGCTGGCACCCCAAGACCTCTTGAGCTCTGGGGCGGCTTCCATGGCACTTGGGACCCTCGGAACTGGGTCGCCGCACTTCCGCTCCTCCAGAATCTCTTGCTTCATCTGATCCAGCGAGACCTGGCCAGAAACCAGCACAAGTCGCCGGGTCCTAGTCAAAAAAAAACAACGCCCAACTCGCCAGAAGGTATTCGCGTGGTCAGCGACCCAACAAATGCCCGTAATCGACAGAGTCCTCTCTTTGGATGGTGGGCAGGCTGTCCTGGGAACACGCCGCGGCCATTGGCACCTTCAGTCTTGCCTTTGCGTAAAATACATCGGGCGTCTCTCAGGATTGCCCTGATGCAGTGCTTTGAGGTCGTGGCGGCTTTTTGAAACACATGTGCGCTGCCTTGTTCGCAGATGTGATTGATTCCTTGCTGATTCAAGGGGGGGTCGCATCGAGATCAAACAAGAAAGCACATACCCTCTGGCTGAACGTTACCTGTCACGGGCTCTGTGTTGTTGATTCTTCTTGCTTTCGGGCTGCCCGAACTCAATTCAACCACCCAAAACTGAGCAATTTGACCGAACTGGCAACACAGGCAATTACACAGATTCAAATCCGGTCCAACATCCCAAAAACTGAAGTCAAGTCACAACTTGAAAGCAGCCCGACCGCAAGGGCGTCGGAAAAGTTGTGTTTTGCTTCTGCTTGTGTTCAACGTTTGAGGCGGAATGCTTAATCTCGCTATGCCCTCCACTCTAAAACCTTCGAAACGGTCCCTGTCAAAGGCAAGTCCCAGAGCAGCCGACGTCCCCGCCTCGCGCAGACCCATGGCTGCCGGGCCCCGCTCCGGCGGCAGCGGCGAGCTTTCTGCCACGTCCGGCGCCTGGGAGTTGGGGGTCGCATGGGCATGGGTCACCATGGGTCACCATGGGTCACCATGCGTCGCCAGCAACCACCAGCTTCCTTGGAATTTCATGTGAGGCCGCACTGCTTGCGAACTCCAGGCGTGGACCAACGGCCTCAAGAAACCTGGGGCATGTGTCAAAATAAGAGGCCCATTTGGCCCACCTCGGTGGCCTTCCTTGTGGAAACCCCCGGTTTGGGGCCCCAAATTGGAGCCTTTGAGAGCGTGTGGCTTCCCTTTCAGGCGCCAGGAACCCCGTTGAGACCTTGAAACGACCGCGGCTTCGGTCCGATCGCCTGCGTGTCCTCCTCCCGGAGCGGCTTCCGGCTGCTGGGGCGCACACGGAACCCGGTGAAGGAGGAGGCTTGGTCGCTCCTGGAGGTGGCCTGGGCTGGTGGGTGGGTGGGTGGGAAGGGACTACCATGGACCAACCAGCGGTTCTCATGAGGGCTGGGGGGAGAGAGCCCATATAAGCCTTCAACAAGACCTCAGGGGCTAATTGCTTATTTGGGTGCCCGGGTCCCTCCCCCCAGCTGCCATGAAGTTCGTTCCACTCTTCTTCACAGTATTCCAATCGATGGTCACTGGGTCATCGACTAAACCTGGTAGATAGAATTGAATCAGAAATAAACAAATATATGTTATAATTGTATTACATACTAATGAACCGAGAAGGAAAATTAGAACTTCAGACGAAGTTCTTAGGGGTTCTCAGAAGGGAATGCTTCTGACTTTGCAAGCGTTTGGCCTCGAGAGGGGCTCTGGCATCTTCCAGAACGGGAAGCCACTGGGAAGCCAGTTTCGACTGGATGTGGGGGGGTTAGAGGGGAGTGCGGGCGAACAGCGGACGGTTGGAAAGGGATCCCTTAAAAAGTGCTGGCAAGCCTGAAGACGCTCTGAGTGCATACCTTGCACTTCACATTCTACGACGCCACGCAAGAACAGACAACCCGGCTGTGGCAGTACGAGGCGAGACTGCGCAGCATAAACACGGACAGGCCGGCCTCGGTGATGCAAACCAAAAGCTCTTGGAAGAAGTGAAGGCGGCCCTGCAAGTCGGTCAGCCCCTGGCAAGTCACGGCACCAACCGGCGTCTGAATTTGCAACAGCAAGCCGCAACCTTAAATTGAAAAGTCACGCTCTCCGCCTTGCCGAAATCGAGGCACTAGAACCCAGCAACAAGAAGTCTGCTTTTCCACTCCACCAATTTGAAAGTAATGATCTAATGGCCCTTCTGGCCCCCCAAAACCAAAAACACAAGGAAGAAAACCGGACATCCTTATGCCCCCCCCACAAAAACAACAAACAACAACCAAAAAAAAAACGGGACAGAGCCCTCCAAAAAGCAAACGGTCGTAACCGTCATGTCCCAAGGCGACCCATCCACCCCCTCAGCCTGGAGCTTAGGCGACGCACCCTGTGCCAGCTGCGTCTCCTGGCTGCGGTCCAGCGCCGTCACCTCCTCCTGACGCCGCACCGTGGGCGACAGCAACTTCTTGGCCAGACCGACATGACTCGGTGGCGAAATCTGTGAAGCCCTGCTAAAAGCTGAACTTTTAGTGGTTTCATGGGGGAAAACCCAAAAAAGTTGGCAAAAAGTTGAAGTGCTAACATCCAAGCAAAATGCACGAAAGAGAAGAAGAGCGCATGCCAAAGCCCGCACACGTCAGGCCCACTGTTGGTGCCGCGCGAGGTGCAACGCAAGCCTCGGGGCCTTGGCGAAGTCTGGAGCGCTACCCGATCTGCGCCGAGAGAAACCCTCAACCCCTGCGCCGCTCAGCTCGCAGAAGATGTCTGCGAACCTGCGGACCTTTCCGGACCCCGGACCCCACGTGCTCGTTTGAGGGTCCAACGGCTGCGTTTGGAGGGTGCGGGGTGCGGTCCTTCAGGGCCTCCAGCTCAGATTCCAGCTGCGCAGGCGCATAGCTGGCATTGTGCCGTGGGTCCCCCATGTCCATGTGAACTGCCTGCGCCAGGCCGAAAAAGGCTGAATTGCTTGGGAGCTGGGGTTGTTTGAAGGTTTGTGGTGCCTGGGATGTGGTAAGGGGAAGCCAAACCAAAAAAATAGGGGAAGTCAAGGGCATTTACCATGTGTACCCTTTGTGCTGATTGGAAGACGGCTCGTGGGACTTGGAGGCTAAAGCCACATGTTGCGGAAGGCGTCGCCTGCTGAGAGAGGTCATCCAACTGCCGGTGGATGGTCTGCACCGTGCTCTGCAGCCGGGAGAGGCTGCTGCGCAGCTTGGACCGCTCCCCGCTCTTCCTAAGCGCGTGCAGAGCCACGAGCCAACAAGCCTGGCATTCATCGGCAAAAATGGTTGCCTTGGAGCCCTTAGATGCTGTGAGCCCCAGCCAGCTGAGCCAGGCTCGCCTTTAGCTGTTCTTGACAATTTCCTTTCAAGTCCCACGCAAACATGCGCTGAGTATGCCACACTCCACCAAGGCACAGGGAGGACTCCCAGGCAAGGACAATCTTCTCGGCCAGCAGAACCTTCCAAACAAAAGCCATCGCACATACTGATACCATGGCCAAACCGCCGAATCCGCCAAGTTTCAGAGAACGAATGAAAGCTGTGGTCTCTCTTTCGCAAGTGTCATCATACTTTGTTCAACTATGTTTGCACATTCATATGTATATCTATACAATACGGGCCACCATGCGAGGCCCACACGCCCAGCATCATCATCATCATCATCATCATCATCATCATCATCATCATCATCATCATCATCATCATCATCATCATCATCATCATCATCATCATCATCATCATCTTTTGCCTTGCCTGACCCAATGGCATCTCTATACCTCAAGAACACTGGAAATGCCAGGGCTTTGAGCATGCATCTGCTCCGGGCATGGGCTTGGCGTATCTCGAGAACAGAATCCATTTTGGATTTCCAAAACAGAACATTCCAAAGTCCGGGTCAACAAAACCTGCACAAGCAAAAAAGGAAAACATATCTGGGGAAATGCAGGCTGAGAGGTGGGCATTGCTGATGTCGATTGATTGATTTGTTGGTGCCTGTGCGGGTTTCAGATGTCTTGTTTTCGTTGGTGCCTATGCATGCTTTGGAGCCTCCACTCGCAAATCACTGCATACTTACTGCAATTCACAAGAGCCTTTCAGCTGAAAGAGGGAGGCACAGTTGCGCAAAGGTATTGGTTTGTTTGATTTGGTTGTGCCGGTGCAGGTTTTGGACATTGGGCTCTGAATGTGTGTGTGTGTGTGTGTGTGTGACTTGTGCCTGTGCAGAGTTTGGAGCTCTTGGGCACTTCAATGCTTTGTAGCTTTGTTTCCAATTCTGACTTGGGAGCTTTTCCTTTTCCAATTTGCAACGGTTATTACACCAATATATATATATATATATGGTCACCCCCCCCCCCCCCAGGGCCTACCTTTGCCCTCTTCTAGTTGAAGGTGTCAACTCTACTCTGTGTGCCTCTTTCTTGCAGATATATATATATATATATATGCATTATTCTTATGTAGGCAAGAAAACATGTGGTTTTCCTTTGGCTTCCCAAACATCCACAGAAGCCAGGGATTCTGAACGGTGGGGGCACAGTATCACCCTCTGCACCAGCACCCCAAACTGAATCTCCAGCGGCACCTGCATCAGCACCCCAAACCCCATAGCATCTTGCGGTCAATTCATGCGGCCTGGCCCTGCAAGAGGTACAGCCGCATCTGCGCGTCCTCCACGTCGCCTTTCAGCCGGTCCTCCACGCTGCGCCTCTCAAAGCGCGCTCGGAAGGTGGACAGCTCCTGGCGGCTTGCGCGACACGGGGGGCGCCCGTCGTGTTCAAGGGAAACCAACAGGAAAACTGGAGGTGAGCAAGTCTTTTGGGGCCCCGGTGCGATTCCTAAACTGACCAAGCCGCCCAAATTGGCCTACCTCAACCCATGGAGAAACCCCTCCCCAGGTGAACATGGAACTTCCGAAGGGCTTTGCTTGTAGAAGCAACTCCAGAAAGGCCTCATGTGGCAATTGCAGGCAAGCTGTTAAACCATGAACCCCTTTAAACCACCACTTTTAGGGGGAAAACGGGCATAAACCATGAAGGTATGTAACCAGCTGGTCATTGACCAAACCTCCCAGGCAGCATATGGCCATCCTCCGACAGGACCTGCAGCTTGTTGTCCAAGCTCGCCATAAGGAGCGACGCCTGCGTTTCGGAGCAGCCAAAAGGCACATCTTGAATCAGCCTGCGCCTCATACCCGAAAAAGGGCGACTTTCCCGAAAACCGCTTCAAACCAGCCAAATGTCGCCTTAAGCCCAGATCTGTCGGCATTTCTGACCCCAACAAAACTTCCGTCTGACAGGGTTAACTATCAAACCTGGTCCCCTTTAATGGTAAAACCAAAAGAAGGAGGTTAGGAGGTCGTGTAAACAACATGGCTGAAACTTCCTTCCACCACGGGGTGTTGTGCCCTTGTGTTTACGGATTTGTTCTCCGGCCTCATTATTGTTTTTTTTTTTTTTTGGTTTGCACTGAGTATAGCCTGATTATTGTTAATTTCGTAAGCCAAGACTCGGCTTTCCTAGCCAAAAAAGCGGGATTCTAGGGCTCCATCCATGTCACGGACCGACGCGAGTTGGCTTGGCCCAAACCCAACCCGGCCGATCCCCCCCTCCTCGCTGGCGGAGAGCAGGGGCTGCTTCGCCAGCACCCGCTGCAGGGACTGCGTGAGCTGCTGCGCCAGGGTCTTGGCGGTGGACTGCAGCCGCTGCAGCATCCTCGGCCGGCCGGTGGGCGGACGGCTGATGCAGGCGGCTCGGTTCAAATTTGGCTGCGGTGGTCAAACCCGTTTTGGTACCATTTTAGGGTAGGTATATTCACCACCCATTTTAGTACGGGATTTTGACCCATGGCCATTTGGGCTTTCAGCGCATCCGCCCAAACCCGGAACTCCTGGAGTGCAAACCAGAGCCCAACCTGCCTGCGAGATTCCCCAGCGCAAGGTCTTGGACCCAAAACTGGCATCAAAACGGCCACCCCAAAACGGCCATGGGTCAAAATCCCGTACCCCCAGGTGCACATCCCAATCCAACCACTAAGATAGGTTCTAAACTGGGTGGTGAATTCACCTACCCCAAAATGGGATCCCATTGGTTTCATGACCCACGGCCAAACGTGAGGACTCATCGCCGCACCTTTCGCGGGGTTTCGCTCCCAGCCACCGAGCTGCGCGAAGCCGCCGCTCCCGCGCGAGTCGCGGCGGGGCAAAGGCGCGGCGGGCCGCGCCGCGCAGCCCTCCGGTGGAGTTTTTTTCGCGCAGAGGTGTCCTTTTCGGGGGAAATAGATGGATATTCCTGGTAGATGAGAAAAAACGACCAGGCAGGCCAGGCCCGGTAGATGCGAAAAACCACCAGGTAGGCCCGGTAGGTGAGAAAACACCACCAGGTACATACCAAGGATCGCCCTCTATTTTTGGACCAAAACAACCAAAAAGGACACCTATGGTTTCGCGTCTCCCACAGTCTCCGACCCTGAGAAAGCCCCCCACAGTGAGAACATTTGGGTGTGCCGTTGTGTAAGCTTGGACCGTGATTTTCCTGTTGGCGTCCCGGTCAAACCCAGCCCCCGAAAAAGTGTCCTGTTCCCGTCAAACCCAGCCCCAAAAATAAAAATGGACCGCGAAGATTGGGTTTGTTCCTTTTGCAGCCCCTTGAAAACCCACAAAGAGGGGAACCTCAAAAAGGCGACACACCCAAACGTGTGCGAATCCGAGCCAGTAGCCGCGGTTCGTGGGGGGGGCTTGCCGGGATCAGTTGGGGGACTTGCTGGCGGAAAAGTAGTGCCAACTCCCAGAGTCCAAGACTTGTCAAGGGGGCCTGGCGTGGCTTCGGATCTGAAAATGCTAGCATGAACATTCCATCATGAGGCGAAGTGGAACGAAAACAAACAGACTAGCCCATAGGCACAATGTAACAATGCATATCCCATCGCCGTGGCTTGATGAGAAACGTGTCTGCCAGCTCACCCTACCCTTTCTGCCTTGAAGTGGAGCCTCAAGGCTCCCAGCTCCAGTTGCTGCTTGCAGTGCTTGCACTCCACAATGCCTTGGCAAAAAAAAACCCTTTCAAACGGCTCAGGAACTGGAAGCACCAAAATGGCATGGTAAATGGAAGCATGGACCTTCCAGAGCTGAACTTCCGATCCCACTTTCTGCTCACAGGCACTCCTCCGAAAGGCCGAGGCACGCAGCTTGCACTGCTTGGGGTGCGTGGGGTCCAGCTGCCCACACCAAACGCAGGGCGCCGGCAGCTCCCGCTTCTTCGCCTCTCCTCCCGAAGCGATATGCGAGGGGAAGCATGTTTTTTTTTTGCCGGGCGGGGGGGGGGAGGGGGGGAGGAAGCAAGGGCGAAGCACACCGGAGAAGAATTGAACTCGTGGTTTCCTCCCTTGTTCTTTTCTTCCCAGCGATCAAGCTGCTGCAGCCCAAGCCTTGACCAGGCCCTTTGGAAAGCCGTTCTAAGGTCAACCAGCTTGCCATGGCCCAGCTACCATGGAGACGAAAAACTCTGCAGTCAATGGGGTCAAGGGTGTGAGGCTCTCAGGTTGGTTTCGTCTCGTCCGTGGGGCGTCCTGGGAAGAAGGAGCTAAAGCCTCGCTTAAACACACATCCTAACTTGTTTGGCTGAAACCTGGTTCCCTCTGAGACTCTCACCGCCTAGACAAGCACACATCGCGGCTGGACAATGTGTAACTAGCCTGGCCTGGCTTCGCCATCAGGCTTCACCATCAGCCGATATTCACCCAGCGCCCCGCGAATTCCCCCCCCCCCCCCGAGGGCGCCTGGCTTCGGAGGTGGCGCAGGCTTCGGCCTAGGCAGAAGGGTCAGAAAGTACACCAGCCGCCCCAACCGGTTTGCATTGGTGGGATTTGAACCCTGGGTTTTTGTTGTGGGGTACATGGGTTCCCCCCTTAATCACCAAACCTCCAATCCAAGCCACCAAATAAGGAGAAGCTGACAATAGAACCTTGAAAGGATCTCCAGGTCACAAAAGAAAACGTGCAAAGCTTTGGCTTGGGCTTCATACCAAGAGCTAGTTTCGCGCGATGGTGTTCCCAAGAAGCCTCTCACAAGAGATCTCTGGCTTGCCAAGCAGCGACTCTGCCCGCGGCACGTCGGTCCTTAGTGATGTTTTGGTCGCCCTGCGTGGTACAAGCGTCAACTGCGCTCAGGCAGCTTGGTTGGACTGGAAAGCAGGCGGGGAGCTGCCCGAGTTCTTTGAGTGAAACCTCACAAGCATGGCTTGATGCCAAAGCGTTCTCCGCATATTCAGCTTGAATAAAGCAACATGTGTGCGCTTTGGGGGCTGCCAGGCTGAGTTTGGAATGCAACCGTTCTTGGCCACCGGCAAAGCTTCCCTTTACTCAGGCAAATGGCAGCAAGTTGCTCACCATGTGTGGCGAGCAAGTGCCCCAAATTCATGGAATCTATGTCATTGTTGTGCTTGGCCAACCTCCCACAGCAGCTGCGACGGCCGTGTATCGGAACCAATTTGAGATGGGTCCCTAGCCCGTGCCCGAATCGACCACCACCCGGGACATTGTGACGTCCCTTTTGTTTTCCTCTGGCATGAGGACGGGATCGCACCGAGCCTTCAAGAAAGACACACCTTCCTCTTCCCATCTTTGTCTCCAAATTGGGCAACCCTTTAAAAACCCTCCAAAAACCCCGCAAACCCCGCAAAAACTCAACCCAAACCCTCAAAAACCCCTCCAAAAAAAACACCACCAGTCTCAAACTCAGGTTGAACCCATCGAGTTTTTCCCCTCTTTTCCCCACCGAAAACTTCGGGCCTCGCCTTCCCGGGGCTCGCCTTCCGAGGCCTCCTTGCCGCCGGGCAGCGGGCGCGCCACCTGCCTCCGCGGCGCTGGCGGCACCCTTGGCCTCCGCGGGCGCTGCTCCGTCTTGGGCTTCAGCTGACCTGCCGACGTGCTGCCCCTTTGAGGGGTCTCTGAAGAACCCATGAAGTTTTAATAGAAAACCTTGTGCTGGGAAAAACATATAGAGAGAGAGAGATCTATACACACAGAAATATATATATATATATAACCCTCTTTGTTGTGAATACATATACATATAGAGAGAGAGAGAGAGAGAGAGAGCGAGAGGGGCGGGCTCCCCAAAAAGATGACGCGCCCACATGCGACAACTCGAAACCAAAAAAAAAGCTGGGGCGTATTTGTCCTGGCAAGAGTTCGCCAAAGAGGCGAAGTGAGGAATAAGTAGAACAAGAAAGCGCCATGCTGGCGAGCATCCTGATTTGATCAGCTGCCACCTCTCCCTGTCCTTGTGATCCACCCCTGCCATCGGCGCAAACTTGCAGAAGCCGAATCTCATCTGCTCCGAGGATTCTACCTCGGATGCTGGCCAACAAACACGCGGCCGTGGCCGCGGCCAGAGCTGCTGAAGCTGTGTGCACCCGGGGCACGATACGCGTCCAGTCGCTGGCAAAGATATGGGGCAAACGAGGTGCGGAGTAAACCTGGCCGCAGAAGAGGTGGGAGCTGAACACATCAACCCATCAAGCCTCACATGGACTACTCATCGCAAGCAAAGGGCATCACAGCTTCCAAAGTCAAAGGCGCAATGAGGCGCTCCTCTCGGCCTTTCCTTCCCACCAGAAAACCAGCCTCGCACAAGCGGAAAAGCAGCCACTCGCGGCTCCTTTGAGTGGCTGCAGGGCCTCAGCCGAAGGATCACCTCTAGGGCTGGGGCCTTGGGTAGGAAGGGCCCAAGCAGCTGGCAGGGCCCTAAAAATCGTCAGGAATGTTACTAGTCATTAGCACTTTTTTCTTCCAAGACCACCCCCCTTCTCGCAGCTAAGGCGCTCTTTGCCTCTTCGACGATGTCTGGTGCAGAGGCCACAGGGCCTCACACAGGCAGTAGGAAGTGGCTTGAACGCCCGCCTCCTCATGTGTCGGTGTTGCGCACGTCATGCGCGCACACTCTCTCTATGTTCTTGTTTGTCTTTGGTCCGGGCCTCGGAAAGTCTCCGAACTCCACATCAAGCCGCGCCCATGAAAACCCCCCCACCCACCCACCCCACCCACCAACCCACCCACCCACCCAACAAACGCAGACTGGCCGCAGCCCATGGGATTTTTCAGACCGACCGAACGAGGACTGCCTCTTCCCGCGCCTCCGGCTTCCTCGCCTGGCGCGAATGCTGTCTTCTGTTGGTGTCCCTTGGCATACCAAAAAGGGGTACCCTCAGAAAAAGACACATCCTCCTGGCCTAGATAACAAACATCCACTAGGCAACCCTACTGATGGACACAACCACTGTAAATTAATACGGGCTTGCTCGTGTGACAAGTTCCTGCACGCTACGCAGGCGCGCGGAGACACGCAAACGCATCTGCATTTGCATGTTTAGCGTGGTTGAAATCAGCTCCACTGCTTGCTACGCTTCTTGCACGAACTCTTGGCTGCAAAGCAAAGCCACATGTTGACCATCTAATTATTCACATAAACGCGCACCAGGACGCAACTGGCTTCAGTCAGCACCCATGGATGCACAATTCCCAGCCGCCCGCCTTCGCTCTTAGGCTTGGCCGTCGCTGGGCCTGCAACAGCGCGGGCAGGCGTAGTCATCGCCGACCGCAACGGCCCAAAGCCATGCCTTCCTAGCCAATCTGATTTCCAAACGGTTTGGATGCGTGTTTTTTTTGGTGGATTTCACCCGTTATTTTTTTTTGGTTGGTCCTTCTTTAGAAATCTTTTAGTACACTTTGTTTATTCTCCAAGTGTGGATCCACAGAAGCCGCATCCAAACCGTTTTCTCGACTGTTTGGGAGCTGCCGAATGCTACAAACAACACCAACTATGCCGCTCCGGGACGTCTTTCCTTCCACCTTAAGACAATTCAACCCATCCCTCAGGAAAAGTCGAAAGTCGCTGCCGCTGGCCTGTTCACCGCTTTTTTGGTGGGGAGGACTGAGGCGTGGGGATGGCAAGCTTTCAAAAAAACCAGAAGCGCACCTAATCAGTCGCCCACCCAGTCCGCCCACCCAGTCGCGCAGCCGGCGCCCCGCCTTCACTCTTGGGGCTCGTCGGCGCATCACCTCCAAGCCACAAAGCCCAACTTGCAAGCAGAATGCCTGGGAGCTGAAGCGACAGCTCAACTTTCCGGCTGACCTTGCGGTTTAAGAGGTTTTTTCATGGGGCTTCTGTTACACACGCATTACGCCTTTGCCGCCACGCGCTCTGATCGCTCTGCGTCTCTCGTCTCTCGTCTCCACGCGCCTTGGCTCACCGAAGGCCGCCGCCCTTGCCGCGCGCTTTTCGGTCCCGCCACCACCACCACCAAACAAACAAACAAACAAACAAACAAACAAACAAACAAACCAACCAACCAACCAACCAACCAACCAACCAACCAACCAACCAACCAACCAACCAACCAACCAACACACAAGCACCACACAAGCACCACACAAGCACCACACAAGCACCACACAAGCACCCGGCCTTCAGCTTTGGGGCTCGCCGCTTCTGGTCTGAGGCCTGCAGTCTCCTGCGCGAGCTCACTGTCAAACAAAAGCGGCTGTCAAACAAGTGTGCACAGAAGTCGGCATGTTAGAGAAACTTAGTTTAACAGGGATCCTTACATTATACACCTGAACATTGCCTTGTAAATGGTGGTGTCCATGTATTTTTGTGGAACATGCCATGCTTCAAATGGGCAAAATGTATCTTTTGAGGATCCCTGTTTAACATGCGGGCAAACCAAAACTGAAAGTTGTTGAGTCGTGCATGCTCTTCTCACAATAAAGGTTGGCAATCCATCGCCGTGCATTTCTGACCGCCATCGTGAGAACTTGGGCAATTCATTGTGGGACGCCTACAACCCGCAAATGTCTCTGCCAGAGCCCCTGATCCTCCGCAGCCATGGGCTCGTGCGGAGGCCGGGCACCGGGCCCAATGCTGGAGCCAGCATTGGCAAGCAGCCGCAATATCCAAAGCTGCTTGCCAAGAATAGAGAAACGCACTGTAAGGATCCATGTGGGTGGGCTTCCTTCGCAAACGAGAGGAAGTGGCATTCCTTTGCAACCGAAAGAACGGAAACCCACCCAGGGGCGGTAGCTCAAAACGCCCACAACAACGCCCCCGCGCGCTGGAACTTGGTTGGGGTACAGGCTGGGTGCAATGCAACGCAATCCTCACCGCATGGGCCAAGTCACGTCATCGTGGTCCTCCAGGATGTTACAGATGAAAACCTTGTTTGCTCAAAGGGCAGGGTTGTCCTTCAAGTGGCACACTGCAGGCAGAGCCCGAAGAGATCTTCGAGATCCTCGAGGCTTGCAACGTTGCATTGCAACTCTTTCGATAGCTGGCTGGCATTTCCTTGTTTCTTCCTGTTCTGGCTGCCTTTTGCAACTCTTCATTTCAGTCCTGAGTTGAGAACAAACTTATACAAATGACACCTGCGGGATTTGAACCCGCGCAGCTTGCCTTGGAACCTGTCCAGCAAACAAGGAAAGATGACACTTCCACTTTGCGCAGAGCACGAACGACACGGTGGGTCCAGCCAGCCCATCCACAAAAAGGGCTGCTGGAAGGAGGGAGCAAGAAAGTTTTTTGCGACGCGAAGCATGTGGACTTGCCAAAAAATCGAAAGGCTTCTACTTGCTCTTTGCTGGATCGCAACATAGCCCATCGGCGACTCAAATGGCCTGCCGCACTTCCCCCAACCCTAACGATGACTCTTGGCCCGTGTCAGCCCAAAGAATGACTCAACCCCAGAAATGCCAGGCCCCCCACCAAAAAAAAAAGAAAAAAGAACTGCCCCCTTTCCCTCCCATCCCTCCAAATCGGCTTCCGGGCAGTGCTCGGAAGTGCTGGCGCACGTGCCGACCCAAGCGCTCAGCCGCAGAGGGGTCCTGCCACAGGCGGTGCCTGGGTGCCACAGCTTTGGAGTTCAAGATCTCAGATGCCCAATGGATTTCCATGGGAGAAAAAAGGAAAAAAGGGTACCGCTGGGCAACTGGGAGATGGCACTAACGTTCTGGCTTGCACAGTGTGCTGGAAAGATGTGAGCTGGAAAGGTCCAAATCCATATAGCAGGCCTTACATTGGACAGCCAAGCCACATCTTTGTCAAGACTACTTATCCTGCGACATCATCACAAAAAGAAGCTCATTTTTCATTGGCCCGTGTCTTTACCATCCAAAAAGAGAAATATAGGCACATGGGCACCCTCACCTTTCTCCAGCTCGAGAAGGAAAACCACACGGGAAAGCCCACCATTTCTAGGACCCCTCCTTGCACCTCTTGCCGCGAAGGGCTTGGCCGCCGGAAACCGTCCACAGCACCCGCCCGCCACCCGCCCCGACACGCAACCCGCCCAACCACCCGACACCGGTCCGCAGCCACGGAGTCGACGCTCGGCAGCACCGCCTCGCAGCCGCAAAGCTCCAGAACCGCCTGGAGCTCCAGCGAATCAAACGAGAAATGAGGCACAACCCCAACCTGGCGGTAACGTGGTACTAACATGACTTAATATCCCAAACCTGGCGTTAACACGGAAATAACATGACTTAATAACCCAAACCTGGTGGTAACATGGTTAATAACATGACTTAACAACACAAACCTGGTGGTAACATAATCATAACATGACTTAATAACCCAAACCGGGTGGTAACATGGCAATAACATGACTTCATAACCCACACCTAGCGGTAACATGGTAGTAACATGACTTAATAACCCAAACCTGGTGGTAACATGGTAATAACATGACTTAATAACCCAAACCTGGTGGTAACATGGTAACAACATGCCTTAATAACCCACACCTGGCGCTAACATGGTAACAACATGACTTAATAACCCCAACCGGGCGGTAACATGGTAATAACATGACTTAATAACCCAAACCTGGTGGTAACATGGTAATAACATGACTTCATAGCCCAAACCTGGTGGTAACATGGTAATAGCATGACTTAATAACCCACACCTGGTGGTAACATGGTAACAACATGACTTAATAACCCAAACCTGGTGGTAGCATGGAAATAACATGACTTAATAACCCAAACCTGGTGGTAACATGGTAACAACATGACGTAATAACCCAAACCTGGTGCTAACATGGTAATAACATGACTTAATAACCCAAACCTGGTGGTAACATGGTAATAACATGCCTTAATAACCCACACCTGGTGGTAACATGGTAACAACATGACTTAATAACCCAAACCTGGTGGTAGCATGGTAATAACATGACTTAATAACCCAAACCTGGTGGTAACATGGTAACAACATGACGTAATAACCCAAACCTGGTGCTAACATGGTAATAACATCACTTAATAACCCCAACCGGGCGGTAACATGGTAATAACATGACTTAATAACCCAAACCTGGTGGTAACATGGTAATAACATGACTTAATAACCCAAACCGGGTGGTAACATGGTAATAACATGACTTAATAACCCAAACCTGGCGGTAACATTGTAATAACATGACTTAATAACCCAAACATGGTGGTAACATGACTTGATAACACAAACCTGGTGGCAACATGGTAATAACATGACTTAATAACCCAAACCGGGTGGTAACATGGCAATAACATGACTTCATAACCCAAACCTGGTGGTAACATGGCAATAACATGACTTAATAGCCCAAACCTGGTGGTAACATGGTAACAACATGACTTGATAACACAAACCTGGCGGCAACATGGTAATAACATGACTCAATAACCCAAACCTGGCGGTAACATGGTAATATGGTAATAACACATGACTTCATAGCCCAAACCTGGTGGTAACATGGTAATAGCATGACTTAATAACCTAAACCTGGTGGTAACATTGTAATAACATGACTTAATAACCCAAACCGGGTGGTAACATGGTAATAACATGACTCAATAACCCAAACCTGGCGGTAACATGGTAATAACATGACTTAATAACCCAAACATGGTGGTAACATGGTGTAATAACCCAAGCCTGGTGGTAACATGGTAATAACATGACTTAATATCCCAAACCTGGTGGTAACATGGTAATAACATGACTTAAGAACTGGTGGTAACATGGTGAAAGGAAGTTTAGAAGGAACTTCCGTGTTACGGCAACTAATTGAAAGCTAGCTCTCTCAGACAAATGACAAGAGAAGGAATAAGCCCACGAGGAAAAATGCGCGCGCGTGTGGCAGGGGAAGAGAAAGACGCAAAAAACATGGCCCTGTGCGTGAATCGGCGTTTTCGGAGATGAGAAAGTCGCAAAAAGCGTGGCGCTGTGCGTGAGAAAGCTAGCCTGAGCTGTCTCGGAGCGGGCTCGGCGCCGGGACCATTGGCACGGCAACGCAGAGGTTTCGCAAAGAGTGAATTGCGTGGGAGGCGCAGCATTTTGGTGAGGTCGGGTGCAGATTTCGTGGCAGGCGCAGCACTTTCGCAAGGTCAACTTTTCTCAAGGTTTGAATTGCGTGGCAGGCGCAGCACTTTCAAAAGGTCAGGTGCCATTTCAAGGCAGGCGCAGCACTTTCGCAAGGTCAAGTGTAGATTTCGTGGCAGGCGCAGCACTTTCGCAAGGTCAAGTGCCACATTCGTGGCAGGCGCAGCACTTTCGCAAGGTCAAGTACAGGTTTCGTGGCAGGCGCAGCACTTTCGCAAGGTCAAGTGCCAAATTCGTGGCAGGCGCAGCACTTTCGCAAGGTCAAGTACAGATTTCGTGGCAGGCGCAGCAGGTTCGCAAGGTCAAGCGCCAAATTCGTGGCAGGCGCAGCACTTTCACAAGGTCAAGTACAGATTTCGTGGCAGGCACAGCACTTTCGCTTGTTTAGGTACAGATCGATAGATAAATAGACAGATAAATAGATAGATAAACAGAGAGAAATAGATAGATGCATAGATAGATAGACGGTTCGATAGATAGATAGATAGATAGAGAAAGATAGAGAAAACAGAGACATAGATAGCTAGATATAGAAAGAGAGATCGATAGATAGATAGATAGATAGATAGATAGATAGATAGATAGATAGATAGATAGATAGATAGACATATAGATAGAGAGAGAGAGAGATAGATAGATAGATGGAAATATAGATAAAAGAGATAGGTAGATAGATAGATAGACGGATAGATAGATAGATGAAAGATAGAGAAAATAGAGATAGATAGATAAATACATAGATAAATAGATAGATAGATAGATAGATAGATACATAGATAGATAGGTAGATAGAGAGATAAAGAGATAGATAGATAGGTAGATAGATAAAAGAGATAAGTAGATAGATAGATAGGTAGATAAAGATAGATAGATGAAAGATAGAGAAAATAGAGATACATAGATAGATAGATAAATAGATAGATACATAGATAGATAGATAGATGAATAAATAGATAGATAGAGAGATAGATAAATAGGTAGATAGATAGATAGATACATATATATATAGGAAGATAGATAGATCGATGAATAGAAAGATAGTTAGATAAATAAAACCATAACCTCCCAAACAGAAAGCGTTTTCCATTGTGACTGTGCCACCTGGAACAATTCTACTGTGTGAGAATGCTGACGTTGTCTGGATGCCGCAAACAGCTGTCGCTGATGGATTTACCGCCGCCGTTTCTTTGACTCACCTACACTTCCACGCCGCAGAAGCCGATGGTCATCAAGCCTGCCGAGCTCACGCAGGCTGGCAAGTTGGATGCCGCCAAGCGGCTACTGGGACGCGTTGTCGACCCAGAGCATATTGCAGGAACGCGCTTTTCGTGCTACTTAGCGTGCGGCCCGGGCCCCCGGGACTTGTTGGTGGTGGAAGCGTGGCGCGAGCTTGCCAGCGCTGCGGCGGAGACTTTCGTCAACCAACGCATTGTCAGTGTGACGAGCGCCACGCTGAGCAAGAGGCAGC